ACTATGGGTAACAAGGCAGAAATGAGAATCCTATAGTCACAATATCCATGGTACTTACAGGCCTCTGGGGAGGACAGTATTTTTAGGAAATCACCAGACTTAGGCAGAATTATGCGTCATCGATTCATACAGAATACCACTTCCTGGCTATGTATTCTGAGAAAACTCAGAATTCACATTTTTCCTTAGGATCCACTCACAGGGGAAAGAGCTGAAGTGCTCCGCTGCAGTTAACGTTAACTAACCATGCGACTGCTTTAGGCCTCCCCCTCACTGGAGAAAGACATCCTTCAAAATCAGAGAGGATATAAAGCAAGGCATAGAAATAAGGCACTAGCTTGTCACCGACTCTTAAGACTTAGATTCAGATTCTCTCTAAAAAGAAATCACCGAACAACAAAGTACCGCTTTTTAATAAAAGTATTACAATAACATTGCCAGAAACTTAAAAAAAAAAATCCTAGAGGAAATCATCTTGCCACACTAAAAGAATTTAATTGACATTTGCTATTATTAAAATTATCTCAAAAATTTTTTGACATAAACTCAGTGAAATGACCTCTTTCAGCTCCCTTTGCATTTACACAACATCATTCTTAAGAATCGAGTCATATCCTATAGACTCTGCATTTTAAGGATCTTTTACAAGTATTGGTTGGCAATGACTCAAAGAGGAAGCCAGCTGGGGACACAGTTTCCTAAAGATGAATGGGAGAAGAAGCAGGTTCTGGGCTCTAATCTTTCTCTACGGATAATGCTAGGTGCTCCTTTATTCACTCAAATATTAATGTACGAGATTTTGTGCCAGGTGATAGAGCTACAGCTGTGAGCTAGACAGATAAGGTCCCTATTCTCTAGATACTTATATTCCTAGGTGGAGGCATGCATTATATATCGTGTGGAATAAGAAGACATGGGAAACGGGGGGAGAAAGTAAAGGTTCTTTAGCATGTATTAATGATTGTAAGTGCTACTGGAAACTTCAAACAGGGGGAATATAGTAAATACCTTCGATGCTCTGTGGGCCCACAAGATTCATGGCCTGGTGAGCTGGATACTCTACCCGTGGTCTGGCGATGCCCAACTGCTCCATAACCCCATGGAGCAGCCTCTGGATATCTGTTTCTGAGACCCGGTCAGGGGTCCTTGGGCTATAAGCAGATGCTGGAGTCCATCCGAACGTCAGCCAAAACACTAGGCCAGAGAACACGACAGAAACCATCTCAGAGGCCATGTTTAAACCTGCAGAAGAAAGACCAAACATGTTTCTACTGGACACCACTGGCACCTGCGATGCTCCCACGCAAGTAAGTCACAGAAGGGACCACCTGTTGGGGTCTGTGATGAAAAATCCTTAGGGATTTGCCCTAAGTGTCCAGTGGAGACAGAACGTCTGCTTTGGAATAATATTAAAGAAACCGAACACCCCAAGATAGCCAGTTCCCTGTGCACACAGCACCAGACAGAAGGAATGGCTCCTCTCACACCTTCTCTCCTTGCAACTCCCTGGAAGTGCTTCATTACCCCCAACCCCTCTGCCCTCCGCTCTCTTAGTAAAGCAAGCAAACCAACAACAAGAACTTGCTTCAGTTTTGAGAGAGGGAGAGGGAGAATGACATCTCAAGTTTTCCCCATCTCCGGGGAGAAAAGCGGTTCCTAAGGAGAAGTCAGGAAGACTCAAATGGTCAAGAAGCACAGAGGTCACGAGCTGTGCAAGGGAACATCTTAGCTCAGCAAACATGCAACACATCTGAGATCCTGCAGGGGATGAGGGTACAGCCACGCAGGCCTGCCCTGCAGTCTGAGAAGTGAGGACAGGCCAACTGGCTGGGCCACGGACCCGCTGAGCAGTCCTGGGCACACGTGCCGGCTTTGTCTGCAAAATGGGCCTGAGGAAAGCACCCATGTTGGAGGGTTCTGTGAGTGTCTGCACAACATCAGGCACAGAGCCCCCACAGCGTTGCTATGAGGCTGGCAATACTGTCTCACGGTTCTATACGTTAGAGCTTGAAGAAGTGGCTGCGAGGAGAGCAAAAGGAGAAGACTGCCCTAGGGACCCAAGCTGTCTTACATGTTGGCTTCTATGGAGTCAGGGGCCTGCAGAGCAAGGGGCCAGGTACTCGTGCGGCTGCCCAACCTGGGTAAGACCGCAGCTTCAGCAGTGGCTGTGCAAACCCTCCCTCCTTTGGCCCAGTCTTCCAGGGAGCGGGCTGGGGGTGCATTCTCTTCCTTCCAGCTGCAAGAATCACAACCTCCATTTTCTTCTCTGTAAAGGAAAGGCTTTCCCCAAGTCATTCCTGGACGTGAAACCTTATCCCCCAAAGAGCTAAGACAGTAAGGCCTGCAGTGGTGCCGCAGAAGGCGGGAGGCAGAGACCACCGTGCGCGGCCCTCTCCTACTCCCGCCTGCTGTGGAGGCAGGACGGCTTTGTGCCACCCTCAGCCCCGGCCCACACCCTTCTCCTGAGCCGAGCCACCCAATTTCCATCCTCCGTTCCTTTCCCTTATTTATGACCGCACCTCCTAACCCGCACCCACCCGTTGTCCTCCCCCAGCCTCCAGCCCAAGGACGACTGCAGGACGCCCCCCCCCCATCTCCATACGGCGCACCTGCGGGCCCGGGCGGCCCCCAGGGGCTAGGGCAGGCATCCGCGCAGGACTCACCGGGGCGGCCGCAGGACTCCTCGGCGGCCGGGCCTGGGCGGGGGTCGAGCCGGGCCGGGAGAGCCGCGATGCGCGTGCGTCACCTCCTCCGCGTCGTGGCTCCGCCCCCGCCGCGCCTCGGCAGGTGCATCCCCGGGCCGCGGCCCAGAGGCGGGAGCCCCCGCCCGGCCACCGCGCAGCGTTCCACCCACGCGACCCAGGTATTCGCTCCCAATATCACATCCTTCATTTTGCCACCTTCTAGCATTTATTTATTTATTTATTTATTTATTTATTTATTTATTTATTTAGTCTTCTGGCTTGAAGCAGGGGGCAATAGTAGGAGAGAAAAAAGATGAAGAGGTCCTAAGAACTATTCATGACGACCATGATAGGGTGCATCATAAGGGTGTTCACAGGAGCCCTTTTACTGAGCAGGAAAAAACAAAAAAAAAAACCTATGGCGATAGTTAACACAAAATGTCAAAAACTTCTGTTAAAGTGATACACTAAAAAACATGCGAAAGCCTCTAGGAACATTAGTTCTAAGTGCTAATTCTAAACTTCAAGACCAACTATCAAGTAAGATTTATTTGGCCTGAAGGGATATTGAACCCCCTGCACACTACAGAAATTCATCAAGGTAGACCCAAATTTGTTAAAAACTTATGGAACAACATTGACAAAATTGAGATGCAAAATCATACAATAGAACATGGCATATTTCTTTCAAGACTGGAGAGAAGTACCAGGGTAGGGGGACAGAGAATAAGTAACTTGATGAGACTAGACTCCACATCCTTTTACCCTAGCTCCATCCAGCAAATCCATTCTCACCTATACCATTTTACGCAATGAGGGGCCCACGCAATTCACTCACAAGACACATAGCCTTTTGGTTTAAAGCCAAGCCTCCTTCCTAGAGTCTTGTCTTCCTTGGGAGCTCTTCTTTCCAGCTTGTTTCAGTGCATGCTAAATCAACAGCACAAATACAGTCTATTGGTTTTAGGCTCAAAGACCATGCTGGGGTTGAATATTGATTATTCACACATAACTGGTTTTTCAATTCAGAATTTTACCTTAACATTGTTTACTGTTATCTTCATTTTGTGCTTGGAAAAATGGAGAAGCCATTACAATTTACTGCTTTTGTGTTGGATGGAAATTGAGATGCAACGAAAGGTTTGTTTCATATGAAATTTGACTTTTTAAAACACATACATCCTGGACTTGATAATCATCAAACAGCAATATTAAATTCTTAGTGATTTTAAAATGCTGTGAGGCAGCCTGCTAATTTAAGTCCAATGTAATTGTATTGTTTGTTGCTCATAATAAACAAATTTGTACAAGATCTTTACTTGCAAGAACAAAGTGGAAATCATCTTTTAAGTTACTGCCCACATCCATACTTTTTATAACTGTTGAGTATGTTCACATATCATTTGACCAAAGACCCTGAGTAACATGATCTCCATTTTATATGAAATGAAGATATTAATTCTAAAATTTAACTTTCCTGTCCAAGCTACTCACCTTCATAGTCCTCCTATACTGTTTGCTTTCAGCTAACAAAAATGGGATTGACATGTGGGTTTGTTTGTTTGTTTTTAAATAAATCTCTTTCATTATTTCTCTCCCCAAAAGCCACTAATTCAGGTAATTCTACAGTTAGTCTCAATCTCTTGTGCCTTTTTACTGGTCTTCCAATTCAACACTTCACCCATTCCCATGGATAGAAAATGACATTAGTACATTTCTAAAAGTTTACCCAGAAGGCAGGTGAAGTTTAAACAACTGTTTTGAACCAAGACAACATATATTTCAACAGTTTGAGTGTTTTCTATCTTTACTTACTACCAGAAATATCATAAACTTGAAATGCATTGTTTATGTAACAAACCTGTTTTGATATCATAAAACATGGTATATAGGTTTTCAGTCTTTCTAGAAGTCAAATTCTTACTAGTGAGAAAGGGCTCATTCCTAGGTAATATAAACAGGAAATAGCTTTGAAATAAAACAGATGTGTTGCTATCAGGTAGAACTTGGTAAAGCAGACATCTGAGGACTTTTAAATTTCTCTGTGAATATGGCTGCTCTGTGTAGATGTGCAACGCTGTTCTATTCAGCTCCATATCTGAATGTGGCATTCTAATACCTGCAAACTATCTTTTGTGGTTCCCTCTGCCTACAACATTCCTTCTTCTAAGGTCTAGAGAATATCCACCAGTGTTGACATTATTCTTTCCTTAAATATTTATGACTTCTAATAATTTAAAATAGAAATTTAGATTTGCTTAACAGTTTAGATCAAATTCTAAAAGGTACTTTGAATTTCATCAGATTCAGACAAGCCATTTTCCAAGTTACCTTTAATGTCTATGCTAAATAAATAACATTTACACACCAGACAAAACCATCATAGGCTTTTATAAGAATCAAAAGTTAAGAAACAAAGTAAATGTAGAGATACATCAACTATTTTAAATTATAAAATCAAGCATGTGCATATAAGAAATCACCTTGATTAAAAATTTCCAAACTTCATTATTCCTCCTTAAATAATTTTAAATTCTTTGTCGGACAAAACAGCTACAAATGTATTGTGCAAATTTACTTTAAAAACATAGTATGGCTCAAAAGTCATTTATTTCTGCAGCATTATTCTCTAAGAGCACACTCAGGTCATTATTCTGCTTTAGCCGTTAATTCTTAGTCCAAGTGGACACACTGTACACAACTACAGACAATATAAACCTAATTACTCTGCCCCAAATAGGAGTACAGGATTAAGATGCTATTGAAACTAGTCAATTTCTAGGGATTTTGGCAAAATCCACAAATATCAATGTAATTCAAGAAATAAGATTTGTCAGGCTTATCTCTTCCCTTTACATGTTAGAAATATCTTATAGAGCCCTTCTCTGACTTAGGAGGAATAACAGGAAATAGGGACAACTCATTTCATTCTTCCGATCACACTTAATACAAAATTCATACAATTTTCAAAAATTAATTTCTCACAAACCAAGCCAACAATTTCTTTCAAAAGGCAAAGTGTAACCTCTGCTTTAAGAGATCATGATACAATTAACAAGTTTAAATACTGCCATAATTAAGAAAAACAAAAGTCATTTATACAAGCGTCTAAGAATTCAAGTTGCTTGTGCAGTTAAATTAAAATCTATCACTTAATCTTCCTGAGCTAACAAACTAACATGCAGATTATCCTGCCAGGCCCATTGCCAACTACTAATTTTATTTACATTAACAAATATTAACATCTACCAATTACAAGTCTACAGGTTTACTGGTTGGTAGTAGCTGAGCTTTTCCAAAAGGATTTTTCGGAGAACCTTTATACCAGACCCTCTCTTTTTCTGACGGCTTCTTAAGGACTCGATTTATCCCAGGAGAAAAGCCCGTATTATTATTTACAACAGATTTTAATATGTCATGATTGGTCAGGTCATCCAAGGGAATCTTAATTTGGCCATCGGATATCACTTCCTGTTTACAAACTCTGGTAGACCCGCGAGAAGCCTTCATGGAGTCAGGGTGTCTCTTCATTTTTGAGAAAGATTGGGAAGTTGACTCCATGCCTGATCTTGAAATTGCATCAACATCTGGCTGTTCACATGCTGTAAATTTCTGTTCTTTAGGACCTGATTTAGTATATGAAATCAAGTAATCTTTTGATGTACTCCCTACACCAGAGGAAAGAGCACTGTCACAGCTCACTGACTTAACCAGAGGAGAAGCAGCATCACCAAGACTTGCCAATTTGTGCCTTACAGGTTGCCTGCTGTACTCCAACAAGGAGTTAATCCTTCTGACAGACTGACGGACAGGTGTACGCTGAAACTTAAGAGGTGATCTAACTTTGGTTCTATTTGATTCATTGAGAGAAAGCTTATTAAACCATTGTATGTGGTCTGACACCTTCCCATGCTCTGTCATTTGTGAGCTTTCAGAGATAGTTGTATGGCAGGTTTCCACCAGTGACTGCTGCTTAACGATTCGCACTGGCCTCGGTTTGGGCAAATTTGTTATATTACATGTAATCTGCTCTGAGGAACAGGTGTCAGCTGCAACCTCCCTAGAAGCTGCACATTCTAGTAAGTTCTCCTCAATCATATTCTCGTTCTCCTTTAATTGAGTATTTAGTTTATCCCTTGTGGACTGCTGATTCTTTATGTGTTCATCACTAGGCAATTCTGGCTGGACTGAATTATCTCTAGGTATATTGGAATGGGTGCTTTTCTCATGTTCAATCTTCATATGAGTTGAATAACATGTTATAGTTGTTTCTCTATCCAATTTTTGAGTTTGATGTAGTGAGATGTCTTGTTCTGACAAACTATTTTCATCTGTACTAGTTTGATGTTCATTCGATTCTATCACAGTCAAATCATTAGTTTCAAATAGATTTTTTTCTGGGCTATATTCTATAGAAGGTGTTTCATTTAGCTTTACTTTCCCCAAATTAGTTACTGATGACTGCCTGTGATTTATCAATTCATGGAAATTACTTCCAGATTCAGAAAATGCTCTCTGAATTTTCACCAAAGTCTCTGTGGTCAAGTTATTTTCATCCCCACTAAAAGAGCTTCTAGTTACGTTGATGTTATGCTTATCGTGTAGAGTAGAAGGGGTGAGTTCATATGAACCAAGAGAGGACTTTTCAACTGGAGTATCAGGCTCCAAAGAAGCGCTTTCCACCTTAAGATTTCCCTTGAGTGGAGAGGCTTCATTTGTAGCTATTTCTTGAAAACTAGAATTACTAGGTCCTGTCCAAGACATCCGGTAACTTGTTCCATCTAGATGCTCTGGAGTTAGTAAGTTTTCCTCAGACTTACTGATCTTTTTTGAACCTAAAATAAAGCAGTTCAGTCTTTTTAATCATTTATGTTTGAAACATATTTGAAATATTATTCAGATACATGGCAGATAAAGGTATTAAGCATTAAATTTTAACAAATTAAGGATCTGCGTTAAAAGAAATAATATAAAAGCATCAAACATTTTTGTATTTATAAGCATCTTCCAATTGTTCATACAAAAATACAATGCCAATTCAAATATTTTTACTATCAAACATGAATTTTTAATTTCTAGAACAGTAAATTAATATATTTTAAGATAAAATAACTGAAAGCTTATGTCAATTATATCTCAAGAAAGCTGGAAAAAAATTTTCAGAAAAACAATGAAAATAGGTTTTTTGGTAAAAATAACAAATATCATGCAAATGTACCTTTCTTTGTTAATCTTTCATCAATATCTGGGCTAAAAAGCAGACCTGTTTTTACAGACTCAATTCTATTTTTTAAACTTTGTTGATTTGCAAGTCGTCGACCAACATTTTCATATCTGTCAACACCAGAACACCCATTCTGTACAGAAAAGAAAAATTGAAAATGTTTTAAGAAATAAACCTAATTATTTCAAATATTAAGACAAATATTAAATTTATTTGTGGTTATCAGCATCCTCTAGAGCTGACTGAAAAAGGTATATAAAATTAAAAAAACAATTTTATACCAAATAGAAACATACTTGCATGCCTGCTGATAAGAACTAGAAGCAATTGACTTGACTACTACTTGATATTTTATGATCTGAAATAAAAACAGCCTCACATATTAACTAAAAAAAAATTTCTTTTGTGATGACTCTATGCCAGGAGCTGCTCACAACTGTGAGAGAACAAAAACAAAACAAACAGACCAAAATCTTACCCTTGCAAGGATTTACATTCTAGATGGGGAGATTTCAAATAGGACAAGAAAACTAGTAATTATATTGTATATTATATAATACACAAGGTGAGAAGTGCTATGAAGAAAAGTAGAGCGGGGTAAGAAGGCTTTGGTGGGGTGTCAGTCTATACAGAGTGATCAGAAGATGACTTGTGATTAAAGAAAAATGTGAGAGCCATGCAGATAAAAGGGGAAAGAACATTATCCCACAGAGAAGGAAGGTCAGGTCAGTGTCCAAGGCTGAAACCAGGTGTGGCACATCTAACAGCAAGGAGACAAGAAGCTAAATGATCACGAAGGAGTGGCGAGAGGAGGCCTCAGAGAGGTACACGTAAACATAAGAACTTTATCTTTTTTCAGAGTGAAATGAGTCACCGGAGGATTCTGGGCAGAAGAGTGACAGGACTTTACTTGGTATTTAAAAGGATAATTCTGGCTGTAGTACTGTAGCAAGGGAGGAGCATAGACCTACTAGTAGGAACTGATTGCAGTAATCCAGGTTGGGGATGACAGAATTTAGAGAACACCAAAAATGCAGTACTAGTGAGAACTGGTCAGTCTGGATATGCTCTAACGGCAGAGAGACACAAGATTCTTTAATGGTTTACACAGGGTGTGTGAGAAAGTGAGGAGTCAAGAATGCCTGCATGGACTGTGGGTGGGAATTCAAACTGGTACGGCCACTCTGGAAAACTGTGTGGAGGTTCCTCAAAGAGTTAAAAATATATCTGCCCTATGATCTGGCAATTGCACTGCTGGGTATTTACCCCCAAAGATACAGATGCAGTGAAAGACTGAGATACCTGCACCCCAATGTTCATAGCAGCAATGTCCACAATAGCCAAACTGTGGAAGGAGCCTCAGTGTCCATTGAAAGATGAATGGATAAAGATGTGGTCTATAGATACAGTGGAATATAGATACAGTGGAATACTGTCAGTCGGAGAAGGACAATCATCACATGGTTTCACTCATAAGGGGAATATAAGAAACAGTGAAAGGGATTACAGGGGAAAGGAGGGGCACTGAGTGGGAAAAATCAGTGGAAAAATCAGACAAACCATGAGAGACTCCTGACTCTGGGAAACAAACAAGGGTAGTGGAAGGGGAGGTGGGCCGGGGGCTGGGGGGGTGCCTGGGTGACAGGCACTGAGGGGGGGGGTCACTTGACGAGATGAGCACTGGGTATTGGCAAATCGAACTCCAATAAAAAAATATACAAAAAAAAAAAAAAAGAATGCCTACATGGTTTTTGGCCTAAGTGACTGGAAGAATGAGTTGCCATACCTCAGATGATGAAGACCGTAGGTGGGGATGTAGATGGTGGAAAGGGGGAGGAGTGGAGAAACAGCAGCAGAGAAAAGATGCATCTTGGAAGCTCTATTTGGGACAGGTTGACCCTGGGATGTCTATTTGGATGGACATCAAGTAGAGAAGTAGGCAGATATTGAGAAACATCAAGTTGTTCAGGGAAGCATTTTGCACTAAAGATACAAACTTGGGAGTCTTAAGTAAATACATGGTATTTAAAGCTAATGGGCACCTTGGTATGTAGAAAGAGAAAAGAAAAATCCAAGGACAAAGCTTTGGGCATTCCATTGTAAAGGAATTAGAAAAGTAACCTGTGAAGAAGGAAGAAAATCGTGAGGAAAGTGCCCCTGAAGCAAGGAAGGAAAGTATGCTAAAAAGAACAAGTGATAAAAAAAAAAAAAAAAAAAAAAAAAAGAAAAGAACAAGTGACTAGCCAGGTCAAATGCTGTTGACAGGTCAAATCTAACACAGACTGGTGTTTGTCTGCTGGCTTGAGCACCACTCAATTAATTCATGGATGACCTTGAGAGCAGGTGCATTGAGTGTTGGGGAGGCAAGCCTCACTGGAATCATGTAAGCAGAACAGAAAAGGAGGGAATAGTAGATATCAAAACATGTGTAAGAATTTGGTTTAGGGAAGAACGAGACAGTAGCTGGAGAGGCAGGGCTTTACCATCAAGTCTATAGCTTTATGCTAATATGAACATCAATGAAAGGATCTAAGACACTTACTATCTCTTTGCTACTTTTCCCCAGACTAAACTTCAAACGAAGAGATCTTCGGACCTTTTCTTTACGACTGATCTTGGGAGAGAAGCAGCCTGCTTTTCCTGATTCCACCCTAAAAAAAGCATGGGATTAAAAATGTCAGCATTAAAAAAAATGTTAACATAAAAACTGGAAACATTCTTTTTTTTTTTTGGAAACATTCTTGCAAAATGAAATTTCAAAGTCCAGAGCAAATTATATTGCTAGTAATCAAATAGCGTAATAATTTTCTAAAATTAGTTAAGCTTTAAGATACCATATGTGAACATATTATATTTGTATATAAAATGGTCTCTCCTGTTTATCACAAGAGTTAGTCACTTATAAACCAGAATCATTAGAATCATTAGAGACTAGCCTTGGGGCACCTGGGTGGGCTCAGTCAGTAGAGAGTCTGACTCTTGGGCAGCCCAGGTGGCTCACTGGTTTAGCCTAAGGATCAAGTCCCACATCGGGCTCCCTGCATGGAGCCTACTTCTCTCTCTGCCTCTCTCTCTCTCTGTGTGTCTCTCATGAATAAATAAATAAAATCTTTTAACAAAAAAAAAAAAAAAAAAGAGTCTGACTCTTAATTTCAGCTCAGGTCATGATCTCAGGATCCTGGGATGGAGCCCCATGTCTGGTTCCAACGCTTAGTTGAGGAGTCTGTTGGAGGATTCTCTCTCTCCCTCTCACCCAGCCCCTCCCCACTCCAATAGTTTCCTTTTTTTTTTTTAATAATAGACTAGCCTTTAAACGGAAATTTAAAAACTACAATCAATATACAGTAGGATTTTAAGCAAGCAAAGTGGACTCAAATTACGAGTCATTCTCTGGAGGATATATAAAGGGCAACTGATTGATAATAATGACAGAGAGAATTTTTAAAAATTTTGACTCCAATATGATTCTCAGCAGAAAGACAAACAAAATATTTTCTTAACTCTATACACCACATGTTTATCCAGTGAAACAAAATGTCCTGCATTTATTACCTGCAAACTTTTTTGCTTGCAATCCTCTTACTTCGCCTTAGCACACCTGTGCTGATCAAATGGTTTCCACTGATGGCAACAGGAGAGAGTGAATTCTGAGATGACCCTTCTGGGCTTGTATCAAAGGGAACTGTAAAAATATAACCACATGTAATATACCACCCATACTTTTTTTTCAAAGTATAAAATATTAATAGCAACTAGGTTTAAAATTTTCATTTTCAATCCTAAGCAACAACAAAATCACATAGTTTCTGATGAGAACTTGAAAAACCAAATAAACCCAATTTGACTTGAAAAAAAAAAAGTGTAAGTTTCTCACTTTTTGGTTGCCAATAAGGGTCAGATTATACATGACTTTTACATTAGAGTTTTGCTTTAAACTTGTTTAATAATGGGCTGTAGACTAATATAGGAAAAAAAATTATAAATGATACTGTGGACTGTAGATTAATATAGCTGCCTTTATACATTAAAAAAAGCATATTTTGTCTATTATCCAAACTTAGAAAGCAGTTCATTTTCAGTTTTGCAGATGGAATTTACTGAACCATGGCTGAGAAAATAGGACCAAAGAAAAATGGTAAGTTGTAATAATAGGACTCCTGTTATTGAACTTGTGATTTTTTTTTTTTTGTCATCAATTAAGTAGGCTCATACTAATGTTCCAGTAACAAAAGAATGTTTAAACTACTTTTGGGGAGCTTGGAAAGAAGGAATTATTAGGTTCGTTTCTTGGAGCAGATGTTATAATGCTAATAAGCAAAGGCAGATAGAATTACAATTCACATTGGCCATTTGGAAACAGTGTTCCAAAGTGGAAAAAACTTGAGGAAAACACTAAGTTAGGGGCACCTGGATGGCTCAATTGGTTAAGCCTCAGACTCTTGATTTTGGCTCAGGTCATGATCTCAGGGTCATGAGATTTGAGCTCAGCCTCTGGCTCTGCATCAAGTTTGCTTGAGATTCTCTCTCTCTCCTTCTCCCTCTGTCCCTCCCCCTCTGCTTGCACTCTCTCTCTCTAAAAAAATAAAATAAAATAAAATAAGAGAGAGAGAGAGAGAGAGAGAGAGAGAGAGAGAACACTAAGTTAGTTTAAATGAACTTAAGTCTCCAACCTCTGAATATTGAAAGAAATAGTAACATATTCTCAGAGTTCTTTCATTACATTTTAACAGACCACACACAGAGAACCTGTGAAGGACCATAAAAAACAAGTTGCTGTTTTGTTCAACTTTCTAATAAAACAAAGAAGGAAAAGCTAAACTTTTTGGATAATGAAACAAAAGAGGTGCTTTTGGGTAGATCTCATAAACCTAGCTAACAAATTCAAAGTAAAACTCAACATTTGTCTGAAATCAATAAAAACCTAAAAGAATCAGAGATCACTCACTTTTTGATGAAATGTGTGATAAATAGGAGATAGAGGACTCTGGGCTTAGTTAGGATTTTGGTTCCTTTTGGGTAAATTGTAACATTACCTTGTATGACTGAGCGTGACCCAACCAGCGTTCCATACATTCTAAAGGAGCCAACTCAATCTAAGACCATACTAGCAAAAGAGCTAGTACTCAAATTAGCAAAATTGCGTTTTTCTCTGGAGGCTCTGGTTGGCCACGTTAGAAACTGTAAGTCATTTGGAAGAAAATGCCTGGGCTGGTAACAGATCTGGAAACCATGCCATAATGCACAGCATAAACAAAGTTTTTAAAGCTTTTACAAAAACTACTTCAGTATGAAACTAAAAAGTAACTCCCTCCTCCTTCAACTGCAACCACAATGGTTCCTCCAATGACAGTACTCATCACAATGTGTTTAGGGAAAATCAAACTTTAGTAACCTCAACAGGAGATAGCAATACAGCCACAGTTACAGATCAGGAAGTAACTAAACTAATTCAAGTAACTAAACTAATTCAAGTCCAATCACTTAACACTTGAGCACCAGTGCTATACACAGAAGCCTAAACTCTCATTCTGAGTTATCATAATTTTCAATAGGCATGGTCATAAAACATACACATTAATTATACTGAGCCAGTATAATTAAAATTTAAAAATTAGAGGACTTTATAAAAATTCAGGTATTTGATAGACAGAATAAAGCTGTAACTCCTAAAGGAGGTAGCATTAATATGAAATAGCACTTTGCCCAGAATAGGCACTCATGTTAATGTTTACAACTCAATTACACAAATTTTCTTTGCTACCTGATACTGGCGTAGAACTGCTACTGAAAAGATTAGCTGGCAAGAACTCAAAGTTAAAATTGTGCTTGATGGACTTCCTCTTCTTACTTGAGAAACCATGAGAAGAATCCACTGGCAGTTTACGCTTAGCATTTGGTGTAAGAATTGTGGGTGATATGGATAGCTGGGCTAAAAAAAAAAAACAACAAAAAAAACAAATTGTGTTTTTTCAACTCCATGGAAGAAACTTTATATAATTTCTCCTTATAAAGCTATTCCTTAGAGGTAACCAAAGAATGAGGGAATATGTTTACATTTACATTATCAAATATATGTTATAACTAAATTAACACCATGCAATTATTTAAAATGATAATAGGGAAGTCATAAATAGGCAAGATTAACAAACAATAGTAACTTAAACCACAGACTGAAAGACACATATAATCCAAATTAAAGAATATTAACACACGGAATAAAATCATTATCAAGGAGTTCAAACAAACTAATCTACATAAGAGTTTTGCTTTTCATCATAGCTGAGTATTAATAACCACTTAAATTTCTTCAGAAACAAATGATCATATTGTCTATTATTATGTTATTGGGCTAATTTCAGCCACAAGCAAACCAAGATAAAAATGGGAACATACACTAATAAACTTCTGGTTCTAAAACAAAAATAAGATTTGAGTTATTTTCACATATTCAACAGCATCCTTACATTCAACAGAAAAGCATGCTTTAAAAGACTAAAGATGTTTGTAACAACAGACTAAAAGAAATTCTTACCTATAATTTTGGGTTCCTTATATCCAATGTAATTAGCAATGTCACAGCACAGTATTACAGTACAGTGTTTCCACTGAAAATATTTGGATTTGATTAAACCAAAAAAAGTTAAGTAATGGTTACTTTTTAAATAATATAAAGAAATTTTCACTTCAATAAAAAATATATAATACCTACCATTTTTTTCCTGTTGAGGTGTAACAGAGGGTGTTCTGTTAGATTTAAGTTTACTTAATGCTCCACTAACAAAATCTGAAATGCAAAGCACATATAATCATATCATCATTATAATTTAACATTTACCTCTCTTTCACCAATAATTCATATTGATATTTATGGTTTACAGCATGTAAGTTTGTTAGTTTATACCTTTTCTTTTTCAGCTTATAAATCTTAAAGGCATTTAAGCTTATTTAGAAGGAATTATCTCAAAATAGGAAAAAAACTAAAGGATACATTTCAATTATATTCCTCACTTATATGCCCATCTCTTTCTCTCTCTCTCTCTCTCTCTCAAAAAATGATATACAGGAACACCTGGGTGGCTCAGCAGTTGAGCATCTGCCTTTGGCTCAGGGCGTGATCCCAGGGTGGGGGATCAAGTCCACATCAGGCTCCTTTCAGGGAGCCTGCTTCTCCCTCTGCCTGTGTCTCTGCCTCTTTCTCTGTCTCATGAATAAATAAAATCAAAAAAAAAAAAGGAAGAAGAAGAAGAAAAAAGGCTAGCTGTAACAACACAAAAAAGATAAACACTAATAGTCTACAATTCCTGAACAATTTCAAATTCCTAATAAAATCAATGTATTTTAATGATGCTTGACAAATGCTATCTTAACCCTTTTGATACCCAGGAGTGAAGCATGGAACAAAACAAACTGAATTTTGATAACTGGATATAATATGAATAGCAAGGGTAGGTGGAAGTAAAAACATTCTATCAAAAATACGATAAGAAAAAAAAAAACCCACAAAGTGTGTAAAAAAACAATAAAAAGGGACACCTGGGTGGCTCAGTGGTAGAGCGTCTGCCTTTGGCTCAGGGTGTGACCCTGGGGTTGGGGATCAAGTCCTGTATCGGGCTCCCTATGAGGAGCCTGCTTCTCCCTCTGCCTCTGTCTCTGCGCCTCTGTCTCTCTGTGTCTCTTATGAATAAATAAATCTTAAAAAAAAAAATTAAATTAAATAAAAACAAAAAACAAATAAAATGCAGTTGGACTATAGTATACATTACATAAAGGAGAAAGAATAAACAGTAAAAAGGCATGCTAAACAAATCCTATGAAAGACCTTTAATAACAGGCTATAAATAGCAGTCTTATCAGTGAAAGTTTTTGACTAGTATGTGTGAGACATGATTTAAGTTATACATTAAGAACATCAGCCTTGACAGCAATATAAGCAGGGCAGATTCAACGAAGATGCATGAAGATCAACAAGGAGATTTTCACAGTAAAGATGCAGCAAATACCATGGACAGTATCTTACAGAACCTGAAAACTGTGAATATAAATGGTACAGTAAGAGTTAGGTACCCATGCTTTAAAGCCTGAGTGACTAGAGAATGATGGTGATGTTAACAGAAAAGGAAATTGGGAACCAGTTTAAAGAGGGTGACGACAATTATTTCAAAATGCTGAGCTTAAAGTGCGTGCGCGCGCACACACACACACACACAAAAGCATAAGCAAAGATATCTGCCTAGCAAGTTTTCACCAAAGTGGAACTGATATTCACAAGACGACAGTATCACTGAGATCCAGATCCAGTGTCTACCTGTGTAGATGCCATACATGAAACTCCAAGAGTGAATGAAATCACAAAGGAAAGAGGGTAAAGAGGATCTGTGTCTGAGAATACCTGCATTTGGGGTATTTTATGGTGCTCTGAAAATACATGTTTAAGTCCTAACTCCCAGGGATCCCTGGGTGGCTCAGCAGTTTAGCGCCTGCCTTTGGCCCAGGGTGCGATCCTGGAGACCCAGGATCGAGTCCCACATCAGGCTCCCTGCATGGAGCCTGCTTCTGACCTCTGCCTGGGTCTCTGCCTCTCTCTGTCTCTCATGAATGAATAAAAATCTTTAAAAAACACAAAACAAAACAAAACAAAACAAAACAAGAAAACAATCACTTCTCGGCCTTTTGGCTAAGATCAAGTGTAAAACAAAACCAAACAAAGTCCTAACTCCCAAGTACTTGTGAATGTGACCTTATTTGAAATTAGGGCCTTTGCAGATGGTACTCAAGTTAAGAAGAGGTCATTAGAGTAGGTCCTAATTCAATGTAACTGGTGTCACCGTAAGATGAAAACTTGGACAGTGACACCCAGGGAGAAGGCCATGTGATAACAGAGGTAGACTCTGGATGCAGCTGCAGCTGCAGCCAAAGAATGCCAACAATCAACAGCCACCACCAGAAGCTAGAAGAAGCAAGAAGATTCTCCCCCTACAGGTTTCACAGGGAACACAGCTCAGGCAACAGCTTGATTTTAACTTCTACCTTCCAGAATGGTGAAACAATAAATTTTTGTTGTTTTGCCACCCAATTTGTGGCACTTTGTTACAGTGGCCCCAGGAAACTAACATAGAAGGTAGAGGGGGATCAACAAATAAAGGAAGGAAGAATCATAAGGCTATATCGTATAAGCCAAGAATCAAACAAGAATGGGAGAGTCAATAACAATTAGTCCTGATACTCAAAAGATGAGAAATTTCCTAAGGCAATCAGAAGAATGGCCTCAGGCTTCTTGATCAAGAAAAGATAAAAAAATCTTATGACTGATTTTTTGATGATGGAGCTTTAGGTCTTTTGTTTTTTTTTTTCTTTTGCTTCCTTGGTAATGTTTCCTTCATCAGTTAGCTCATACCTCTAACTCTCTACTTCATATCACTATTTGAAAGCATGGTCTCATGCTTGGATTATTACTGCCCATTTCTGACTATTCTCCCTACTTCCAAATCTCAATTCTTCAAACCAGGTAATTTTCTAAAACATTATAATCCTGTAATGCCTCTACTCATAAATCTTCAATGGTTGTTCTCCAATACCCAGCTTCATAGTCTAATATTTCAGCCTAACATTGAGCTCACCGTAATATCCTCCTAATCTTCAGGATAAACCCCTCACTCAAGTCATGTTAGGCTATTTTACTGATAGTCATTGATTACTTCTTCCATACACAAATCTTTCTTCATAGCATACTTTTTACCTACAATAGGATACAAGTATTCTGACTCAATTCCCCTAGATTCTATCCATTTTTCAAGAAGGCTCAGTCCTTGAACCTTCTTTGGACTCCCTGATCACTACAACCCAGGGAACTTTTCTCCTTTGAACACATTTCACATTTGTGCTAAAGATTTAGCATTTAATATTAGATTTTATCGCCATTTTTGCTTTTCCCATGCATGTGTCCTGTTTTTCCAACTATGCTGTAAGCACCAAAAGGGCACATGCCATAGCTTAGGCTTATGTTTAAACAGTTTAGATAAAAGTAAACTGCTCTACCGCCACAAAATTTAACTGGCACTCCCACTTACCTCCTACACTTTGTCTTCGCTTTCTCTTACACTCACCAGGAGATTCACATTCACCTTCTTCACAGCCTTCTAATGATGGAGTAGCACAGAGACCATCAAGACCCAACATAACTGGTATCTTTTCCTGGATAAAATCTGGAACATGCCCTAAATAAAAACGTTGAGAGTTAAAATTTTTCCTCTACTCTCCCTAAAAATGTTCAAATAGTATATATTTCTAACAGTAATCTTCACAGTTCACTTGGAGGAAACTGGGATCTCCTTCATTTAAACAAATCCTGTTTGTTTTTTATAATGCAACTACATCTTACCAATATCTGATGCATAATCAATAAGAGTCTGCACCACTGCAACCTGTAATCGTAGCTTTTTTTCTGTGTTAGCAGACATCTTTTCATGTCCTTCACTTGTCTGAAGGAGGTTTGGTGCAAATATTACTGCAAGATTGCTACTATCCATCTTATTCTCACTGGACCTTAAAATGAAACAAGGTTTTCTTAGATTAAGCCAAAGAGAAATATATAGAAATAAAATTAACATACTGAGCACATTTTGAAGAATTCTTACTTTATAAGTCAAACACAAGTCAAAAATAGTTACCCTTTGTCCACCCATCTGTATGATTGGCTTCAAATAAGACGAACCAAAAATAGCTTCTGTGTGCTTAAATATGTATCATAAAAACCATGCTAACCAGAGTCTACACTTTGTTCTTCCATACAAATTGAACATATATATTTGATTTTCAAACCCACACATAACAACTGTATTATCTAGGACAAGCAAGCTCACTGACAACAGAGAGGGGGAACAAATTTGAGAAGCAAAACACAAATACATTAAAAACACAGTAACCTGAAGCCATTCAATGGACAAAGAATCCTATCAACACCAATAAGCCATTCATGATGTTAAGACAGTAAGAAAATACTAAATCATTTGGTAAATTGTTTCTTAAATTATACAAGTTATACTTCTTGTAGTAAAGAACTCTTTAAAAAAAATTTCCATCCCAAATTTAATCCTAACTTATTATCTATAATGGTAAAGCTACCTAATTAGCAAACTATTTCCCAAGACTTTTAATTACTTACCTAAGGGAAACATTCCTGAGAAAGTTAAAGAAGTATCTTAATACATCAATTGTGTGGTCAGCCATAAGACAGGAGAGCAATATTGTAGCTTTATTCTTCTCCTCTGTTCCTAACTGTTGAGCTTTGAAAAGTGCTTCATGCAAATCAGCTGGAAGAATGGGCTCTGGCAACTCCCTAAAAAACTGCTTAAGAAGTCCTGCAACATCACAAGGAGGTGCAGATGACAGGCAACTTTCACCATGATCCAGTTTATTCTGAAATAAATATAATAATCTTAAGCATTTGAGAACATGAGAGTCTACTGCAAATAAAATATCCCTTTTTATAATCTAGAGAGCTTTTTCTTAAAAAGTTCCTCTTAACCTTGTTTTAATATGTATCATGCATTTTTGAAGGCTAATAATAAAATCAAAAAAATATATCTTTCATTTCATATGGTGCTTTATTGGAAAAAAGGATGACAAACTTGAAAGTACTCAACTTTTAAAGCATTATATAGATTGTAGAAATCATTTCACAATATATACATACACTAAAATGTGAAGTTATACACCTTAATGTATTTGTCAATTATATCCCAATAAAACTGAAAGAAAAAAAAAGCATTAAATAATGTATAATTCTTTTTTTTTTTTTTAATAGAGAGAGTGCATGAGTGAATGCTCGTGTTGGGGGTGGGAAGGGAGAAAGAGAATCTTAAGCAGGCTTCATAGCCAGCGTGGGGCTGGATGTGGGGCTTGATCTGTCAACCCTGAGATCATGACCTGAGCCAAAATCAAGAATCAGGCTGGGCCACCCAGGCACTCCTGTATAATTGCTTTTAGAAAAAAAAATTCTTTTGCCATGAAAAAGGCTATCTGCAAATTCAATTTCTATCAATAATTCATGCAATAGTTTAAGTATTTCTATTCTAAGAGCCAAATAAAGTACAGATATTCAAGAATATGCTTACCTTTAGGGCTCTTAGACGAATAACAGATCCTGACTTCCTAAAAAGCCCTTCTGTATGAATATGCTTTTCTAAAGATGTGCAAGCATCAACAAGAAAACTGAAAGAGAGAAATCTTTTCAGGTGGCCAGAAACACATCTCACTAAATCCTATTTTTCTACCAAAGCACATGAACAGACCAAGCCCCTTGGTCTAACCCCCTTTCAGAGGCTCTAATGTCACAAATCCCTTCAATTTTTGTAGGTTTTTTTGCTTCCTAAATTCTCCTCTCGGGCCCATCTTTTTATCCATGACTTCTATGAGCTTGCTTTAATCCAACATCAATCCTACTTCTCAATCCTACTTTATTGCTCTGCTTCCACTCAGAGTACAAGATGTGTTTTTACTGACTCTCCTCAACCCTCTCCAATGAGATTCTCACCCCCATTACTCCAACAAAACAGCTCCCATCTTAAATATCATGTATATATTTAAGTAGATAGTAAGTAGCATTAGGTATTAAATACCATGCAGGTATTTAAATAAATATTAAGGTCACCAACCCCATGATCAATTGTCTTCATTTTGCTTGTCCTGCCAGCATCTGACACACTTGCTTTTCTTGAAAATATTCCTTTTTGTGACACTTCTGGTTTTCCTGCTATACCCCTAACTATTCCTTCTCAAACTCCTTTTCTGGTTTTTTTTCTGCCAGACCTCTACATGCTAGTATGACCCAGGGCCCTAAGGCTTTCTTCTTTTTATTCTCTCTTCATGTGTGACTTTGCAGAGCATACATAGCTTTAAATGTCTACCATCTACATTTGCCCAAAAATAAGGCAATGTGCTTTTCTCACTCTAACATTACCTCAGAAAAATTAGATATATCCTAGGCCTTACAATTTTTCTCATACTTAGAGGTGTGTGCTCAGTTTCTTTATATTAAACCAGTTTTAACCATCAATGCTGGCTTTAGTAAAAAACAACTGATACCACAAATCAGAATGGATGTCAGCAGCAAGCAACTGATAGCACTGTACTAGTGCCCAGTGGCTGAATATCACAGAAAGTAAGTGACAGAACTTAACATTTGTTTGTTTAAAGCAGGCAATGAAATTACGACAAAGATTTAGTCATCATTACTAGGGATATGACTTTACAATTCTAAAGGTAAAAAATCATTATAAACAAATCTTTTATAGGTCATTTAAAAAGCAAAATAGTAAGTGCTTACCTTATGAAGACTGTGAATCTGCACCTATATGCTGAATGAGGGAAAACTGTCCTAACACAACAAGGTATTCAATAAATGCTTTTGGACAATACATCAGTTAAAAACCTAGGTAACTGAACTAGAGTAGCCAGAAGGAACCCTACTTTGGATGAAGGGGAAATGAATTAGTAACAGCTAAGATAGTGTCTTTACAGCATCTTTATTTATTTAAGATGTAAACTTCTCTAGTAATTTCTGATGCAGTTAGTCAAAAGGTTACTTTTAAATAGTGACATAGTAAAAAGCTCAAGTGTTCATAATTTATACTCACAAATACTCTATTTAATCTTAGCTTAAATATTCTTTCATCCACAAAGGAAAAAGGGGTGGGAGTGTGTGTGTGGGGGGAACAGACTCTTAGGAGAACAAACTGATGGTTACCAGATGGGAGCTAGGTGGGGGACCAGGTGAAATAGGTAAAGGGAATAAGAGAACATTTATGATAATCACTGAGTAATGTGTCGAATTGTTGAATCACTATACTGTACACATGAAACTAACATAACACTATATATTAACCACACTGGAATTACAGTTTTAAAAACTTAACTGTAACTGAATTCATAATCAGCATATTGTTGAATACAATCAGAACTGCAGCAAAAGAACTGGTATAGAACTAAAAACTCTTGACTAAAAAGAACAAAAAAAATTGCTTTCTAACATTTATTCATTACTGAACCTTAAAATTCAACCTTAGGAATGAATACAAATTAAAAAGTTTAGTGTAAAAATTTAAAAACATTTCTACATTAGTTAATGTTGAGAAATTAAAATCATTTGCTAGTTCAAATCAAATGTGTAAGTCAATCAACTATTTTATTTATTTTTTAAAGATTTTATTTGAGAGAGAGAGAGAGAAAGGGGGGAGGGAGAATGTGCACATGAGCAAGCATGAGCAAGCAAGGGGTGGGGTCGAGGCAGACAAGCAGATTCCTCACTGAGTGGGATGCAGGGATCAATGGGGGGCTCGGTCCCAGGACCCTGAGATCATGACCTGAGCTGAACTGACACTTAGCCGACTGAGCCACTCAGGTGCCCCTCAACTATTTATTTTTAAACACGCAAACACCAGTTTGAAATATTTTTTCTTCATCCCAGACTTAGCTTACCTTGGAATGTGTCCATATTCTGGTACAACAGAATGGGGCAATGCATTAAAAGGTACTCCAAATATTTTACCCTAAAATGGCAAATTCAGTTAACTTAACACAAATATTAGGCATAATGTCAGTTTTCTTAAATAGTAAGCAAATTAAAAACCCCAGGAAATTTAAAAAATAGAAATATTTAGGATAATGAAAATAATTATTACAAGTAACTTTGGTAAAAACTAACTGCTATATTCTACACATTACATAGGTGCTGGGAGTACAAAAATGGTCAAGAAAAAGTCATTGTGCCTGGGGGGATGGGTGAGATAGGTGAAGGGGATTAAGAGTACACTTAACATGATAAGCAGAGTAATGTAAGGAATTGTTGAATCACTATACTGATTACTTGAAACTAACACTGCATATTAACTGTAATAGAATTAAAATAAAGTCATTGCCCTAAAGCAATATAATACATTCCATCAGTTTCCTTTTTTTTTTTTTTTTTCATTCCATCAGTTTCCAATCCCATAATGGAAAATTAATCCAGTTAGTGCTTAGCTAGGAAATTCTTAAACAAAATTTGGCCAAAACAGCAACATTTTCTAAAAACACTATATATTCTTTCAGTAACATTGTAACACTAACCTTATTCTTTCCTTCTGTCACCTTATAAATACTAACGTGAACAAAAGGCTAAGTTGATTGGCAATGGTAATTCTTGTCACTCATTGAGTACTTCCTAAAATTACATCAAAAGTGGTTATTTTTAGACTCGATCTTCTTTTCCACGTTCTATTAGAAAACTCCCATTCAAACTATGATCTGAGGTAAACAAGGCAGGGATTCTGCAAATATTTAATTTAAATTACTTTAACTACTTTGAAAAATATTTTTAAAAAGTCACAATCACATAAATGTATTACTTATATTCAAATTTAATACACTGAAGATCCCAATAGTAAATTTGTATGTTACACTTCTTAATAAAGAATCTGCTACTATCTTTGTGCATGCATTCCAACTTCTTAAAAATTTGTCACTGATTAAGAAGGTTGTGGTTTTCCACTGGACTTAAACACAAGCGTATATAGATCTGCTTATACAAAACTAAATAAGTGGGTATGCCTAATCTCATAAACATTAATTTAGCTTAGAAGCATCTATTCTCCAAGAATGCTCTTGAAGCACTGTTAAGAAATCATTCAGCACTGTTAATTATTCAACAGAGTAACAAAATCTTACTAGTCCTTGTTTTCAAGCATCTGGTTCCATTTAATTGATGAATATAGAATACAGAACAGCATAGTGCTTAAAGGAACAGGATCCTAGTGGCAGGGCTCCCAGGTTTTAAATCCTTCTACTTATTAGTTCAATGATCAAATTAATTCTTTATGCCTCAGCATGTTCATAAGGGTCCTAAGTCACAGAGTGGTAGGAAGAAGTAAATAAATTAAAAGCATATATGTTAGGGTCTGACATAGAGTAAGCATTCAAAGATATTTGTTGCCATTGCAATTACCATTTCAAAGTAACACAAAAAAATGTTAATGTGGAAAAACCCTTTTTTGGGTAAATCAAAATTTTCTTGATACTATGCAACCAAACAAAATGCAAAAATCAGATGCTGAAGCTGATTATAAGTCTACAAAGGTCTTACATACCTAGAACTCAGGGTCTATTATTCTCAATAATGGTCTCATAATAACAGCTATAATCTCAAAAAATAAAATAACATGCTTTTTAAATTTTATGTATTGGGATATCATTTACAATGTTACCTTCAAAAGACTTCTAGCACTTTTCTTTACAAGCTCAAAACTATCATTAGCTAACAAACACCAAAGAGCCAAAGAAATCTAGTTTACAAATATTACTTATCTTGGTCCCATTCTTACAACATGAAGATCTTCTGTATTTATTAGAATATTTCTATTATGATTTCTAGCTCGACTACCAATTAGGATGTCGATCACTGATTACCATAACAACTATCATTAGTTGAATAAATGGCACGCGACAGGTACTGTGCTAGTCCTACCTACAGATCTTACCATTTTTAAATCCCCCAAAGAGAGATACCATTATTCCCACTTTATAGAGTAGGAAACAGAAACTTAGGAAAATTAAACAGCCCAAGATCACCCAGGGCTGGTGATCAAGGGATAAAGCAGGATTCAAACTCAGGTCTATCTGACTGTCAAAGTAGGTATCAATTTTCTTAAGGGTTGAAAAAAATCCAAATACAAAATCTGTCATACACTTACAAAACCAACTATATTTAAGATCCTGGAAAACCAGTTTTACAATCTGATGAAATCACTCATGTATGTGATTTAAAAATCACATTTTTAAAATATAAATGAATATGCTGCCATACATATTTTTTTTGCCATACAAAAGCTTTTCTCCAGAATGTGTAAGCTATTAAGAGGTATAGAATTTATTTTTGTTAGCTTTGTTATCCAACTCCTTACTTTCTTTCAGAAATTATAAACTGAGCCATGCAAAGTTTATTAGTTTTCATCTCTAAATACTTAAAAATATTATATAATTAGGCAAATATATTCAAAATAAAATGCTTTATGTTCAACCTAATTTTTCACAATGAAATTCTTGATGCTGCGATAGATAATAAAATTTCTTCAAAATCCCCTTACGTTGACCACCCTCAGATCAACAGCTTTTCAGTTATTCCACTCTGTCATCTCAATTTACTCACTTTAAAAAATAGCATTATATCTCGAAAATAACCAAGCAGCAAGTTTGTTTTTTTTTTTTTTCAAATTAGTGAATAGAGAGGTGTTACCTGAAGCCTGTTTCTAATGCTCTTTCACGCCTTTCTAAATATTCGTTTAGAAAATTTACTGATCCTCCTGACCCTTTCCAAATTTTACTCTAAAAACGGTGGGGGGGGGGAGGTGTAGTGTTCAGTGTTTGTCTCCCTTCCCACATGCTACTTGTTCAAAATACAATACATTGGCAGCATCTGGAGATATTTTTAATTACCAAAACTAGGAAATTCTCCTGGCATCTAGCGGGTACAAGCCAGAGATGCTGCTATCACATCCTACAATGCACAAGGCAGCCTCCATGTCCCAATCTCAAAAGAATGAATTATCTAGTTCCAAATGTCAACGTCGCGAGGTCGAAGAATCCTGCAACTTCCTCAGTGATCAAAAAACCCCTGTAAAGAATGAACAATGTCATTCTTTAAATTTCAGCAGTTGACCATCAGGATTGCATTGGTCACGCTTAGCCACATTCTCTTTGGGATCCACACAGGATGAACATTTTAACATGACCTGTAATGAGTGATGGTACAGGGTGGACTCTTTTTTGTGTGTGTGTGTGGTTTCTTTTGTTTTGTTTTTTTAGCCCACACCTTATTTCCGCAGAACTTACCACTGTTTCGGTGGCTGCTGTCTCAGGTATCCTGCGATCGCACTGCCCACGGCCACTCTTGACCTTAATACCATGGACGGCCCGAAGCTGCTGCAACAAGGCCAGCCTTACCAGCCTCCGATCCCACATCGCGGACACGTCGTCGCCCGCTCTCCGAGGCAGGATCTGAGTCCCGACCCCGGTTCGCCACCAGGTCTTCCAATTTCCAAACACTCTCAGGTTTGCGCTCTGCTCCGCGGCCTTCCGGCCAAGCCTGGCACAGTTCCGGCCCCGGAGCCCAGCCACTTCCACGGCTTTCCCCTCGGTTCTCTGCCCACTTCCGCCGACCTTCTCCGCTTCCCCGCTGACCCAGCCACAGCGCACCTTCCCTTCACTTACACGGACCTTCTTTCTTGTCACCTGATCCTCTCGGCCACTTACACAGACCCCCCTTCTCTCTTGGGTTCCTTGCACCGACGCCTCTTACCAGCTTCTCTCCACTTCCGGCCACTTTCCAAGATCCCGTTTCCTCCAAACCTCACTTTCCCTTTCGTCCCTCCGCACCGGTAAAGGCGCCCCCTCCCGCCTCGGCAGGCTGAGCCGGGCGTTCGTCTCTCAAGTCCCGGTGCCCCCAGCCCTGACCCAGCCGCCGGACCAGCCGGCTGCTCACACGCCTTTTCCAGTCCCGGTCCCCGCCCGGGCTGGTCGCCGCCGTCACCCCGTTTCACAGGCTGCTCCTTCCCTCCCCCATCAGCCCGCCAGCGGCCCCCGGCCTGCACATCCCGGTGCGCTCACTGAAGCCACGCAGCCGTCCTCATGCCTGCGCCTCCGCCGCCTCGGCCGCCCGGGGAGCCGCGACCGTCCCACCCTCGCTCGCAGCCCAGGCTCAAATGGCAGCGCCAAACAGCGCCCCGCGCTCTGATTGGCCCGCTCCTCTTTTCAAAATCAGGACCCTTGAGGGTGGCCAGGAGCTGCCTGTCAGGGAGACGCAGGCAAACGGGGCAATCGCGGAGGGCGTGGCGGGCCAAACCAAGAAATATGAAAAAAATAAAATAAAAGGTGAGTTCCACGTGTACCTTCACAGCCACGTCCTTGGGAGAAAATTCAGTTTAAAGTGCATTTTAACACACCTGGCCTGCGACTCCGACAATACATTAGGGGAAATGTAATAGACACCCCAGTCGCTTTTTTTTTTTTTTTTTTTGCGGCGCTTGGCGGAGGCTGAAGACCCACCCCCCCCCACCCCCCCGCTTCGAGAGAGAAACCGGTTCTACGGAAGCCGAGTTGGGACAACCTGAGTCAGGGTTCACAGACTCTGGCTTCGGGAACCCTCAAGCTGGATTTTGGGGGGTGGTGATTCCAGCTGCAAAACTGATAGTGCCGCTCAAATCTTGGCGCGCAGGGAGCTCAATACACAAGGAAGACTTGTCACGGGAGAGTCTAGTGCGGGAGGAACGCGACCTCCGCGGGAGGCGGGCGGCGGCCGCCGAAGCCTCGCTCCTCGGGATGCGGAGTGGGAGCTGGGCTCCAGGCTCTCAGTGCTGGCGAACAGGGCTGCACGTCCCCAACTCTTTTTTTTTTTTTTTTTTTTAAGATTTATTTATTTGGGAGAGAGAGAGCAAGCAGAAAGGGGTGGCGGAGTGTGGAGGGCAGAGGGAAAGGGAGAAGCAGGCTCCCCATCTGGGGCTTGACCCCAGGGCCCCGGGATCACGACCTTACCCGCGGGCAGATGCTTATCGGGCGGAGCCACCCAGGCGCCCCATGCACTTGCCCATCTCGGGTGCCGGCTGCTGTATTGGGTCTCAAACATCTGCTGTCCCATCAGGATGTTCTCTCTCTCTCTCTCTCTCTCTCATAAATAAATAAAAATCTTAAAAAAAAAAAAAGTGAAGGTGGGATGGTGGAGTGGGACTAGCATTCAGGAGACAAAAGCACTGCAGGAAAGCCATCGAATTTAACAGGAACCAGTGCATCAGAGACAACTGGACCTCCTTCTACTCTTCTGTTTTGTTTCTGAAATAACTTTCAAAAATTATGTTAAAAAAAATTACTTGTCTTTAGCCTCCTCCCTCTCCCAAACTTCACATTGTTTTGGATTTTAGATGTCTCAGATTTCCTTTTCTTAAACACCCGACACTGCTCTTGAACATTAAGCGCCTTTTCTGTGTCATGATTCTTTTTTTCAAAGTTGAGCTCTTTGATTTGGTTTCTTTTGTCACCTTTTAATATGAAATTATTGGTTCTTCATGATATTAACATAATTGCTCATTTGCCTTACCCATGTACACTTATATACACATACATTTATATAAAACTGAATAACAATAGCAATATTGCTAAATAAGACTGCTGAATGAAGTTTAAGTTTGTGTGTCTTTTGTTTTCATGTTGTGTCCCATCTGGGATGTACTAACAGAATACCATGTTTTCAATGAACTGAACATAATTCTTCCTTTGGTTGCACGTAGGTCTACCATAGTTTATTCAACCTGGTCTCTATGGATAGACACAGAGGCTATTTCTTTTGCTATCATAAAAAGTTCCCTGTGCATATACAATATGCTTTTACTAATAGCTCATTAGCATAGACTCCTACAAATGGGATTGCTAAGTAAAAGAACATGTTATTTTGTTTAATATTGCCAAATTCACCTTCATAGGAGTTGTGCGATTTTGTAGTCACACTTGAAATGTATGAGAGTTCCTATTTCCTCACAGCCTCTCCAATAGAGAAAATTTTTGCTAGTTTGATAGTTGACTGATGGTATCGCATTACGGTTTTGCACTTAACTTTTTGTAAGTGAGGTGGAGAATCTTTTCAAACAATGCATACATACCATGAAGTATGATGAGTCTTAAGAAATTTGGGAAATAGATATACAGCTATGAAATGAAGTGGAATAAGCAAGGCCCAAAAGAAGGCTATAGTATGCTACTTTGTGTGTGTGTGTGGGGGGGTGCTTAGAAATACATACACAAGGAGACATTTGTTTGTATTTTCAAAGTAAATATAATAAGTAAACCAAAATATAATAAAAATGGTACCCAATAGAGGAAGAGCAAGGCCTATTTTCTATCGGATGACCTCTTTAAAAAATTTTAGGAGCATTTTACATAACAGCCCAATGTGAAATACCTTGAACTCTTTCAATTAATGGCTTTTATTGGACTTTCGGCTTTGCATTTTTGTTTGTTTAAGTTATTATCAATATGTTCCTTTAATGCTCTAGATCCTGAGTCATAGGTAGAAATGTTTTCCCTATTCTCAAGTTATAAAGGATTTCACTCATTTTATTTTTTTTAGTACTGGTGTAGTTTTCTTTCTTTTTTTTAGAAAATATATTTATATCTCTGATCCATTTGGGATTTATCCAGTGTAGAGTAAAGAATGGAATTTTGTCTTTTTCCATATGGCTATCCAACTATAGACCTTTTTATTTCACTTCAGCAAACTCCCACACCTACCTCCAAAAGTAGCAAAACACTACTACTGAAAGCCCCGTACTTATGACTGTTGAACTAAATTTTTAAGAATTTTATGATGGTATGAAAGGCCCTACACATTCAATAGAAATCATTCTTCACATTTTGAATTTTGATCTTTCTTGGGGCTAGCAATATGCAGTGAGATATTCTCTTATGATGCAGGGCAGTGACAGCAAGCTACAGCCATGACGAGAGTAAACAACCCATACACCTACTACCATTCTGTTCTCCAACAACCATTCTGCTTTTCACTTTCAGTACAATATTCAATAAGTTACATGAGATATTCAACACTTATAAAATGGGATCTGTGTTAGATGATTTTACCCAACTATAGGCTAATGTAATTGCTCTGACTATGTTTAAGATAGGCTAGGCTAAGATATGATGTTCAGTTTTGTTAGGTGTATTAAATGTATTTTTTTTTGACTGAATATTTTCAACTAAGTTGAAAATCTGTACGTTGACTGGATAAAAGAGATATGTTTACTGAAACATTAGACTTTGCTTTTAGGTACTACCACCAGGTGGCACACACCGTTTTCTTTTATCTAGCACCTAACTTAGCTCTCTTCTGTGAAATCAAGTATCTGTTAAACTGCCTCTCTGAAACTTCTTCCTGTATCCTTGCTTGGAAAAAGGTGGCTTGTGTAGCTTCTCAAATCAGATCAAGAGCTTTTCTCTGTAAAACCAAAATGATTGTCCTTGAAATCACTGCTTCTGAGGCCTGGCGCATTGCAGGGCACATGACTCATTTATTAATAAAACAGAACCATTTGAGGAAACATCTGTCTTAAATTTGGATTTGACCAGGTGAAAAATAATACAATTATTTCCTCAGGTTACTGCAACTATCACCAGAATAATGGCCATGGTGGTGCCTCACCTAGATCCCCCTCTAAAGCTGCGGTCCTTCATCTCCCGCTTGCAAGAGTTAGCCACTGACGGCTCACAGCCCAACTCTGCAATGACTGACCAAAAAATGTCAAACATAGAATAATAACCTTCTGAGACTTGTCAGTGAAAGAGACCAATATAAATGTTCTGAAGCAAGAAATATGAATGCTTTTTAAATATTTTTAAGGTATAGGAGAAATGAGGTGGAAAAGAATAATGATAGGTAAACCAAAATGACTCAATAAAAACTGTAAGTATATAAAGCCTTAGGAAGTTTTGGGTCTTTTACAAAACTAAACAATGGGCAGCTTATAGTGCTTTCAATCACAGTACAGACTTGATTAGATAAATTATTGTGTACCAATTACCTGGGTCATATATATTTACTGATTTGGAAGATATTCAGGGTATAATTTGAGAAAAAGCCCATTACAAAATTGCATATATAGGGACACCTGGGTGGCTCAGTGGTTGAGCATCTGCCTTTGGCTCAGGGCATGATCCCGGGGTCCTGGTATCGAGTCCCACATTGACTTCCTTGCATGGAGCCTGCTTCTCCTCCTTCCGCCTATGTCTCTGCCTCTGTCTCTCATGAATAAATAAATCTTTAAAAAAATTGTATATATCATTGTTGTTCTTTATATGGTGTATGCAAAAAAATGGAAAGATATTAACAATGGTATTTCTCAGTGGTATCACTGCAGGACTTTTGCATTCTTCTTTGTGCTTCTCTGCTATTATCATGTGAATTTTTTTTATAATAAGTATATTAGATGAGGTTGAATTCTGTCCCCCCAAAAGATACGTTGAAGTCCTAACCCTCAGCTTCTGAAAATGTGACCTTATTGACATCTGTACCTAGTTAAAATGAGTCCATACTAGAATAGTGTGGGTCCTTACTTCAACATAAGCAGTATCCTCATAAGAAGAAGAGACACAGCCATGTGAGGTGAGGATGCCATATGATGATGGAGAAAGAGATTGAAGTATTGTGTCTAAGAACCACCAAGGATTGAGGCACCTGAGTGACTCAATTGGTTAAGCGTCTGCCTTTGGCTCAGGTCATGATCCCGGGGGTCCTGGGATGGAGCCCCACATCGGGCTCCCTGCTAAGTGTGCAGCTCCCCCTGTTTGTTCTCTCTTTCTCAAATAAAATCTTTAAAAAAAGAAAGGAAGAAAGGAAGAAGAAAGAAAGAAAGAAAGAAAGAAAGAAAGAAAGAAAGAAAAGAAGAATCACCAAGGATTGGTGCTTGATGCCTCCCACCAGAAGCTAGGAAGAGGTAAGAAGTCAACACCAGATTCCAGATTTCTAGTGTCCAGAATTGTGAAAGAATAAATTTCTGTTGTTTAAAGCCACTCGTTTTGTGATACTTTGTCATGGTAGCCCCCTAGGAAACTAATATGCATGTCTTTATGATCATTAAAAGTAAAGCTATTTCCATTTTGAAAACTAATTGGAGTTATAATCAATATGAGGGAAGATGAAACTTAAAGGCCAGCACAA